GTACCCCGGATGGTAGGCCCACCTCCCGCAAAGCCACCGGCTATGGTCAGGATGGTTTCCTCATCCGTATCCGATTGAGTAGCCGTCTTCTTTGGGGGCGGTCCTCTTGCTTGTTTAGGTGTACCCCTTGACTTGGAAAGATAAGATTTGAGAGCCCCCTCATCAGCGAGCCGGTCGAAGAGCCGCCTGAGGCTAAAGCAACCCTCAGTGTCGTGGCCAATTTCCTCGTGAAAAAGACAATATTTGCTCTTATCCCGGGCGCTTAGAGGACTCTTCATAGGAGACGGTTTTTCAAGATTCAACCGGTCCTTTACTTCATTGAGAATGGAGGCACAGTCCTTGTTGAACTCGTACTTTGGCACATACGGATCCGACCTCTTCCTTTTCTGGAAAGGTTGTCCGGATGAGTCTGCCGCCCATACCCCCTTTCTCTTGTCTTCCTTTTTGGCCGACTGGGTAGGCCGATTCTCTTTTTTATCGGATCTTTTGTAACCCGTTGGAAGTTTAACAGCACACAATTCCACTGCCTGAATGTAGGCCTCCGCCTTCATGAGTGTCTCGTGAAGAGTGGAGACCCTCTTCCTAACCAAGTCAAACTTAAAAGTTGATCCATCTTTTAAGCCTTTGAAGAAATCAGTATAGGCAACGTCATCAGACAATCCATGGATTTGGATCCTCATCAGGTTAAACCGCCTGACATATGACCGGAGCCCCTCTTTGTCTCCCTGTTGTATTGCCCCTAGATCAAGGCTTGTTTTCTTGGCAGGGATGTTCATAGAAAAGTTGGACGTAAACCAGTAGGCCAAGGTCCTGAAATTATTGATGCATCCGGCTGGGAGGTTACCAAACCAACGTTGAGCAATCCCTTTCAACGTAGCCGGGAAGCACCGGCACCATGCGGCATCATCCAAACCCTGCAAATACATCAGGTTGGTGTATGCCATAAGGTGATCTTCCGGGTTGGTGGTACCGTCGTAGGCGCCTACCAACACGTTTTTTATTTTAGACGGCTGGGTCATCTCGGTGATTTCTCTGGAGAACGCCGTTGGCTGTTCCCCAAGGTTGAGCAGCCGGAGCTGCCAGTCCATAGGCTGGACGGGCGACTGATGCTGCCCCCCGAAAATACCTGCCTGTGCATAGGGGGATCCAAAGGGCGTATACGGTGTTCCATGCACTGCCGGTTGGATCATATGGGGGCCGGATCGAGCGGAAACCTGGCTCGTCCGGCTGTCATTGTTTGTTCTCGAGTGCCTTCCTGAGGTGGCATTGAAGCTGTCTCGAAAGGTCGATGTTGATGCCGACTCGGATCGCTGAGTCTTTTTATCTTGGATGAGCGTCCTGGCATCAGAATAGACTTTCTTGGTTCCATCCGGCTGAATGTGCCGGACGGGCTTTCTGACTCCATCTATAGGAGTGTGCATCTTTGAGAAATCAAAGAGCCTAGCTGGCATGTCTGACTTCGGATGTGGGGTAGATGCTCTACCCTTTACTGTTTTGGCTGTCTTTTTACCGTGACGCCTTTCTTCCGCCTGACCCTTACGGGGTCCGGCTGTGTAGTCCAGAAGGCCTGTGATCTCTCCTTTGAAGCTCATCATCATATTCATGAGCTCATCTCTTGAGACTGGGGAGTCTCCAGCGGTAGAGGTTAACCCAAGCGGCCCCCTAGTTGGCTTGCTAGGAGCCGCCTGGTTCCCTTCCCGTTCTCTCTTATCTTTGGAACGGGTGTTCTTGGTCCTCAAAGAGCCATCCGCAGCAGTGTAGGCTTCCAAGTCATAGTTATCGGCTGTATCTTGGTCCGAATGGACCTCAACCTCCCCAGTAGGCAGATTGCCTTTACCAGGTAGTATAGGCTCAGATGTCATCTAGAAAGTACTCTCCCCACAGACGGCGCCAGATGTTTGGGGGTTTTCTATGTGTCCTTCGGGAGAGTTACAATTTCCTAGCAGACTTCCTTCTTACGCCTGTACCTGCACCTAGCAGACTTCCTTCTTACGCCTGTACCTGCACAAGTAACGGAGACTCCGGATGGGGGGTGGGAGTTCCGCCTCCGAAGATTAAGTTAGTATCTTTTTGAAGTGGAATAAGAACAGTAAAAGCTTCTCGGTTCGAGAGCGTTTCAGTAGGTTTGGGCTTTGTTTGGTTTTTTTTTGTGGTTGCAATTAATGTATGTCATAAATGAGGTCTACCCTTACTATTTATAGTAAGGGAGAACTGTACCTCAATTAGGGTATAAGGGACACGTGTCTGCAAAGGGATTGGGCCTTTGCAGACCGTTTAAAGATTGACACGTGTCAAGCCTTTATTGGGCCACGTGTCTTAGGGTATTTTCACCCTAAACAATCGTCATATATATGTTATGTCATTTTGATTATAATCATTGGGCGGCCGATTATTTTGGAAAGTAAAATTTAACTATTAATAAAAAAAAATCATATAATGTTTACAAAATATGTTCACATTTAACAAATACATAACATATTGAATCCAATAAAAAAAAATACTTCATATAAATTATGATCGTCGAAGAGATCTTGAACTATGGAAGATCTCTTGTTTACAAGGCTATAATATACAACCTTTTTGAAATGGCACTCTAACGATTAGTTATACCCGTGATGATGATCATCAATGCAGAAAAAAGCAAATTTGATCTTTTGATCATAATAGAATTTATGGATCCCTCAAAAGAAAAAAAAAATAGAATTTACGGAAATTGTTCCATGTACCCCCAAGATTTTAAAAAATGCACCGTGTACCCCTGAAAACTTTCAAATGCATGCACCATGTACCCCTGAGGTTTGTAAAAAAATGCACCAAATACCCTAACCCTCTAACAAATGCACATATCATTGACTTATCAAAATAAAATCATATCCACACACTAACTCACTTTTAGTATTTTATATTTATGTAGTAAAACCGCCTAAAAGCATAAATTACATCAAAATTTGAACTCCAACGATCATTCTAAATCCATAATTTTTGGGTGTTAAAATTTGCTTATTAATTAAGTTTACTTTATAATTAAATGGTGTAGCATTATAGTAGCATTAAACTGTAATAATTTGATAGAATTTGATGCTTAAGGGGTCTTAATTTAACAAAATTAACATTTATTGTGAGTCTAAGGGTATTTGGTGCAAGTTTTTTACAATCCTCAATGGTACATGGTGCATTTAAAAGTTTTCAGAGGTACACGGTGCAATTTTTAAAACCTCAGGGATACATGGAACAATTTCCCTAGAATTTAAGCAAATGTCTTTTGACCCCACTTGATTATATGTCTAGATTCGCCACTGTGACCACAACCATATACCCTTGGTGGGATCAAGGAGTACAACAGCATGACTTACATAATCATTATTATGTTTCTATCCGTCGAACGTTCATTGGGATACTCGATGATGAGTACTCAATAGGGGCTGGAGGCCAAATCATGGTGGCCTCTTAGCCATAGGCGTATGATTGCCTGGGGGATATGGCATAAGGAAGACAATTAAGGTATGAATATCATGTTTAAGATGTGGAGAGGCATATAAATTAAGGTTTGAAAAGCTAAGCACACATGTGTAGCCGTATGGGTGCAGTGTGTACATCACTTATGGGTTGTGGTAACCATGAACACTACATTAATGCATGAGAGGTAATTACTTTGATTGGTGGCTAGTGGCTACCTAGCAACTACCTTGGATGCCACATAAGTAGCCATGTCGCCTTGGATGGTTCTCAGATCAGTGGAGATAATGGGTGGAAAATACTCGATGTATGGTGGAGGAACAATTAGTGTGGCAGTGGACGATCACAATAACCACCCACCCCATTCCCCACTCCTCTAGTGGACAATTACGCCAAGGTGCTACTGATAACTCATGGATGCTAGTGAGTAAGAACTAACATAGGCCTCGTTTAGTTCAACTTATTTTTACTTATTTCAGAAAAAATAAGTTCAGATCAGATCAGATTAGAAAAAATAAGTTCTGATCAGAACATCTTTTTATGTGCGGTTTTTTATCGCTAAATATTCTTAATTTCGTAATGAAAAAAATTGTGAAAATTACATATTAATAAACTACGTATTATTACGAATCTAACAAGATCCCACTTGATATATTTTTTCCTTATAGATTATCGTACACTTAAGGTCAAAGTTTGGTCAAATCAGACAATCAGATCAGATCAGATCGGATCAGACCAGACCAGATCAGATCAGTAAAAATAAGGTGAACCAAACAAGGCCTTACTCCCTCCGTTTTTTTTTATATATATAAGTTAGAGTTATTATTTTCGTCATTTTTTTTATAAGCTAGAGTTCTATTGGAAAACTCTTACAATTTAATAATATATCTTTATCCACTAATGTCCTCACTCTTTCTTACTTTATCATTTTTCACTTCTTCAATGGTCTCCACTCCCTCTCACACCACTTTACTTTTCAATAAAATAATAACCTTATACACCCCACTAACATCTTATTTTATTAAACATCCTAAAACTCTGCATAATCTCATCACTAGCCTATAAAAAAAATGGAGGGAGTACTATGCTAGTGGGTGGTTACTACGCTATTGAGAAGTTACTTGTATAATGGGAAGTTATGCCTTATGGGACTAGGTTGCTTGGGGCTAGCATTAGTTAGAACAATTCCAATAATTAACTAATTCATCTCATAACTTTTTATGCCAAATTAGATCCTCAAACTATATCATTTCTAGCTACCTAAAATTTATACCTTCATAAGCAAACAAAATATACCTTATAAAATAATACAGAGTTTCTCTTATGTTTAACTAAACAATCACTGAACAATTAAATAACTACGTCATAACACAACTAAATAACGAGGCTTTCAAGGCTGAAATTATTGCTCTAACACGAGGCTTAGAGGTAGCTAAGAACCTGCAGATTCAGCAACTCGAAGTCCGACTTGACAACCTTGCTTGTGTTCATATTCTGCAGAAAGGAGAAGCAGGAAGTGGAGAAGGTGCACACTTCATTAATAAATGCTTAAACATGCTAATCAATGCTACTGGGAAGGTTCGAGTTGTGCATTTCTATCGAGAAGGCAATAGAGTGGCGGATTAGTTGGCCAATCGCAAGGTTACCCTACTACTTACCCAAGACATTGGTCTCATCATCTATAATTATATTCCTGTTGATCTTAGTAGGGTATTAGAGGAGGATATTAGGAGTGTGGCTTTTCCACGGTTTGTTCCTCTGTAGATAGTTTTTGTTCTTTTTTATGTAGTTTTTTTCGTTGCTTTTGTTTTTTCTTTCTTTTTGGAAGCTCTTTCCTCATCGGAATAAAAAAATAAAAAATTAAATAACGATGTCGTAACTCAAAAACGAGGGCAACAACGCACTTTCTTTTCTAGACCCGGAGAACCTTTTATATACACCGGGTGCACATAGAGGTAGGTGCACTCAAAGGTGTTTTTTTTTTTTTTTTGCTCTTTTTAGATTTTTAAGGTAAAGAGAAGGCCCATCATAAAAAGGGGATGTAAGGGAAATTCCGCCTAAAATATGCTTGGTGAGATTTGACCGTTAACCTCACACCTAAAAGTCGAAGAACTAACCAACTAGTCTAGGCTCCTATCTCAATTTATGTTAAAATGAGCAAAATACACTTGGGTGCATCCGCGTCTATACAAAAAATTTCACTATGCCCGAGTAACCAAATGCATCACCAGCTCACAACCAGACCCATTGGAGACTAGATTAAACAAACCTTTTCCTTAAACCCCTAAGTCCCAAATTCGACCTAGTAATTACTTGTATAATCATACAAAAGAGGGATTCAAAAACCCTAACCCCCTCTCAAATACTCTTCTTCATTTTCGCAAATTGAAAGCTCTCAACAATGGCGGAACCACCTCAATCAACAGTGGCGGAACCTCCATCATCAACAACACTGGAAAATCCAAACGATTCACTTACAGAACAACAAACCCTAGGAAAGCGAAAACATTCCGAATCCAAAGAACCATTACCTCAGCAAAACTCACCAGAAAAACAACAACTACAACAACAAAATCAGCAGCAAAATCAGACACAATCTCAGGAAAACTCAGAATTACCAAGCTCAAAGCGACGAAATTCGACTCGAACTTGCGTACACGAAGTAGCAGTGCCGAAAGATTTCATCTCAGACAAAGATTCAACCATTTATGGAACTCTGGCAAACCCTAGCTTCGATGGTCCAATGGCGAAAAAGTATGCTTTTACTCTTGATCCATTTCAGCAAGTTTCGATTGCTTGTTTAGAGCGTAAAGAATCAGTCCTTGTTTCCGCCCACACTTCCGCCGGCAAAACCGCCGTTGCCGAGTATGCCATTGCCATGGCATTTCGCGATAAGCAGCGAGTAATCTACACTTCGCCTCTGAAAGCACTGAGCAATCAGAAGTACAGGGAATTGAGCCAGGAGTTCACTGATGTTGGTCTTATGACTGGTGACGTTACTATCTCTCCTAATGCTAGTTGTTTAGTGATGACAACGGAGATTCTTCGCGGTATGTTGTACCGGGGTTCCGAGGTGTTGAAAGAGGTTGCTTGGGTTATATTTGATGAGATTCATTATATGAAGGATAGAGAAAGAGGGGTTGTTTGGGAGGAGAGTATTGTGTTCTTGCCTACCGAGATTAAGATGGTGTTTTTATCGGCTACTATGTCGAATGCAACCGAGTTTGCTGAGTGGATTTGTAATATTCATAAGCAGCCTTGTCATGTTGTTTATACGGATTTCCGGCCTACACCGTTGCAGCATTATGTGTTTCCGGTTGGAGGGTCGGGGTTGTACTTGGTGGTGGATGAGAATGAGCAGTTTAGAGAGGATAACTTTTTGAAGCTTCAGGATACGTTTGTGAAGCCTGGTAATGGGATGAAGAATGCTGCTGCCAAGGCTAGTGGGAGGATTGCAAAAGCTGGATCGGGACCTAAAGGGGGTTCGGATATATACAAGATTGTCAAGGTATGTTTTTGTTGTATTGCTGACTAATTTATTGCAATTTAAGTAATTATCATGTTGTACTGAGTAATCTTTTTGGATTATGATAGCTTCTCCATGAATTTTTGAGGAAGTAAACTAAACTACCTTTTAGCCAGAATGTTGTTAATTACTTACATTTTTAATTATATCGTATTAAGTGTTATAATGTTGAAGTATTGAGGGACTGCTAGTTTTTGCTTACTGAAAAGAGTTTGGGGCAATTGTTGCTGATCAATTGTCATTAGAGAGAAGGGTTTTGGACTTAGAGCTCCTATGGGAGGCACTTGAATCTGACTAGTGAGATGCTGTTTACAGCCAATCAATTCAAAATATTTTTTGATTAAATGTGAGCTTGTGTATATACGTCACCTAAAAATCTTCCTCCTTGAGCCTTGGTTAATGAAGTATGACACTAGCTCACTTTTCATCTTGGGGAATTGCCTTTTTCTGTTTTTCTCTAAAATCACTAAATGCATTTCCCTCCTTTAGAAATCACTACAAGAAATTGAATGGGAGCAATGTTGCCAAGTGGCTCAACTTGAATTAGTCTAGTATTGAATGGAACATGAAACAATTGACTCTTATGGCTCATATTATATTGGATGGGAATGAGTTGAGGAGAGGGATCTACACGAGCCACTCATGGTGATAGTTGTCTGATAAGTGTTCTTGCAATCTTCTTTTCTTGAGTATGCACTATGTTAGATTTAAAGAGGGATAGCATTTTTATTTCAGAGAATGTGATTAGAAGTTTAGTGAATCTTGTATGTTGTGGATGGATTTCATATAATTATTTTGTGGCAGTTGTTAGTGCGATTGTTATTCATAGTTAGTCATAGTTGTGTGTGTTGGTTTGTAAAAAGGGAAAGGAAAACAAGGATAATGTAAAGCTAAACCTGTAAATTTACATAGTTCTTTTTTATAGAGATGAGAAAGGGAATCCTCCCTTCAACCATCATAACCTTTCCCTTTACAACCACCTCCACCCCTTCCCTCCAATCTACCCTTCTTCATACAACCACCACTGCCCCTCCCATCCTTTAACGTCACTTGGTTCAATGCCTTTTATCTTACCTTTCAATTAAATGATTATTAATTGTTTACTTTATAAATTGGCTGTAAGCCTGTATGCCACTGTATTGAAGGCACTGAATATCTGAGTGGTAAACCAACCATTATGCTATGCTGGCATACATTGCCATTCTGAACAGCAGGATTACTCGTTATCCTGATTCATCCAGATCATAATTAATTGTTTACACTTCCCGTTTGTAATTTCTGGTTCATACTGACTAGGGGTAGGGGTGTGTTATGGTGGGATACATACACTCGGTTCATGTTGTTGTTTGTTTTCTCTGAGCCAAAATTTTGACTTCAACATTTTTTCAATTATTTGTGTTGCAGATGATAATGGAGCGCAAATTTCAGCCTGTCATTGTATTTAGTTTCAGTAGAAGGGAGTGTGAACAACATGCAATGTCCATGTCAAAGCTTGATTTTAATACGGAAGAAGAGAAAGATATTGTGGAGCAGGTCTTTAAAAATGCAATTCTCTGCTTGAATGAGGAGGACAGGAGCCTTCCTGCTATTGAGTTGATGTTGCCACTTCTTCAACGAGGCATTGCCGTGCATCATTCTGGGCTTCTTCCAATTATTAAGGAATTGGTGGAGCTACTTTTCCAAGAAGGGCTTGTGAAGGCGCTATTTGCCACTGAGACAGTAAGTTCTTTGGCATATAACAGCCATCTCTTTGATTAGAATTATGTCTTCCATATATTACATTATTACTAGATGCTTCATACCATATGTTGTATCTTTACAAGATAATCAGTGATAGAAGTTTCCTAAATTTTGATGTAAAGTGAGATACAGGTTGGCATGAGAAAAAAAAAAAAATAAGCGTGTCATGTCCTCTGTCCTTAACCTTTTATTTTGTCTTCTATTCTGAATTATCTTCGATGATTGTATGTAACTAATGATGATCTCTAACACATTGGGCTTAATTTTTGTAGTTTGCAATGGGCTTAAATATGCCTGCAAAAACAGTTGTTTTTACTGCAGTGAAAAAATTTGACGGTGATAGTCATCGTTATATTGGATCTGGTGAGTATATTCAGGTGAGTGAAGTTTATCTGTACTGTGCTGTGATCATCTGAAGTCTGGTTTTGTTTTTGTACTTACCAATGTCTCTTTGGTTTTTCTTCAAAGATGAGTGGAAGAGCTGGTCGCCGTGGCAAGGATGATCGAGGCATTTGCATTATAATGATTGATGAGCAGGTAAATCTTGTGGTCTAAAAAGTTATCAGCAATCAGCAATCAGCTATACCACAATTATTTATGTAATGTGTTGATGATCATATTTTCTATGAGAAGCTTTTTATATGTCTTGTTTAGAGTTATGTATGTATTGGATTTAGAGCAGATGAAAAAGAAAACTCTATCCCAAATTTTTCCCACTCGGGACATTCTTTTCTCTCAAACCTTTTTTAACAAATTCATGGTGTTAAATTCTTTCCTCACTTATTCTTCTCTCTTCCATTACTTTAATTATTTCTCTTTACTTTGTCTCCTTACACCAACTTTTGGATCATACTAAACATACTCGGCAGACCTTTTATACAGCACTTAATGATCATTGTCTTTCTTTACTTATTTTAGATGGAAATGAATTCTTTAAGAGATATGGTGTTGGGTAAGCCAGCTCCTCTTGTCAGCACTTTTAGATTGAGTTACTACTCAATCTTGAATCTAATGTGCCGAGCTGAAGGCCAATTCACTGCTGAACATGTCATTAGAAATTCATTTCACCAATTCCAGCACGAGAAGGTTTGCCTTGTACCTTTTCTTTATTAGATCTTGTAGATAAGGCATGCATAACCAATAATTGTTTCTTTTACAGACTTTGCCTGAAATCGAAAAAAAGATAGAGAAACTTGAGCAGGAAGCTGCCATGCTTGATGCTTCTGGAGAGGTACTGTTTCTTTTGGTCAGAGAATTTCCTTTTCAATACATTGATTTTTCTTTTCGAAGAAAAATTCACTCGAGAGTTTTTTATGTAGTCTGAAGTTGCAGAATACCATAAGCTAAGACTTAATTTAGCTCAACTTGAGACGAAGATGATATCAGAGATTACAAGGCCTGAGAGAATTCTTTACTATCTAGTTCCTGGAAGACTGGTAATCATCTGTAATATAATGTTCCTGTCATTATCATTCATCATCCACTTTAATGGTGCTTCCTTAGCTATGATATTACCCTTTTATTTTATACAGTTCAATGGCCCAAATATTTATATTGATAATTGGCTTCATTACTTTGTGTGAAAATTTTTAGGTTAGGATACGTGAAGGAGTAACTGACTGGGGTTGGGGAGTTGTGGTCAATGTGGTGAAAAAGCCTCCTGCTGCTGTGGGAACTGTTCCACGTGGTGGAGGCTATATAGTTGATACGCTGCTTCATTGCTCCCCTGGTACAAGTGAGAATGGTTCAAGGCCTAAACCATGTCCCCCTCGACCTGGGCAGAAGGGTGAAATGCATGTGGTGAGTTAACTTATATGCTAGCAGCCGTGCATTTCACTAGTATCAACTGTCTAGATTCACTTTTATTTTTGAAGGGTCAAGCAATTTAATAATTTGGCTTTTAAATGATTTTATATTTGTTGTAGGTTCCAGTGCAATTGTCCTTTATAGCTGCCCTCAGTAAGCTCCGGATTTCTGTCCCTCCTGACCTTCGGCCTGTTGATGCCAGACAAAGCTTACTTCTTGGAGTACAGGAGCTGGAAAAACGTTTTTCTCAAGGCCTCCCAAAGCTTAATCCCGTAAAGGTATGTCTGCCTACTCAGTATTTCTTCCTTTTGATGGTTCATTGCTTTGGCTGTTGGAGGTTGAAACAATGGGTTATTATTTAGCTCTCTCCAATTTATTAGATAAGTTCCTTGTGTTGTCCCTTTTTCATTTTGAACTTGTACAATATTGCTTCATTAATATATTTCCTGATTTGTGAACTATTTTTTAATCATTTATGAACTGAGATTTCCTTTGCTAAAGTTTTCTGAAACCTTTATGTTTTTTTTTTACTCCCAACGTTTTTACCATTCCTTTAAAACTTTCTTGAATTTTTTCTTGGTTCTCTTTAAAACTCCCTTATTTTATCTTGGATGTTCTTTCTTTTTATCACTTTATTTACTCACCTTTTTTCAAACTCTTTCAACTGATTATCTTGTTATATGCCTTTCTTTATATCGTATGGTTCCTTATGATGATTCATGTTAGCCGACCCCAAATAAGTTTGGGACTAAGGCTTTGTTATTGTTGGTATGATGCAAAAGGTTTTTCTACTATGACTTGAGCCTTTAAAATTTTCTGATAAGGTGCCATAAGCAGTAGAGGTAAACAGTAAGGCTAGGACTAGTCGGCAGCTAGTTGGACATGCAATTGTTGAAAACTGGAGCTTAGATAGCATTGAATTTGTGGTGGTGGTTATGGAAAAGATTTGTGGTGATTATTTCTTTTACCCTCATAATTACATTGCACTAACTATTATTTCTTTTACCCTCATAATTATTTCTTTATTACAAAACTAACTTTAGTACATGCCTTGATGGATGCTTTGCATATGAAACTATATGTACTGGGATAAAGCATATTGAACCCTCTATCATTCATTATATTGGAAAGGCAAAATATTTTAAACTTGCTCCGTTCTTTTAATATTGCACCACTTGCCTTTTAAGGAAGTTTTACAAATATTGCACCATTTCCATTTTAAGACAAAAAATATCTCTGTTCACACTGTAAATACCCAACATATCCTTACTTTTTCACACTTATTCTTTAGTTTATGTTTACATCACATGGATTCTTTTGTATTTTTACCTTTCTCTCTCTTCCTTTTTCCCACTACCAAAATTATTGTGCCCAACTTGTATGTTGCAATAATAAAAAAAACGGAGGAAGTATTAAACATATGTCAATTTGTCAAATCACGCTTATACGACATGATGCCATGTCATTTATACTACACCATTTCCATTCTGTCTCAACTAATTCCTTGACTCTATGCCATAGAATAAAAATGCGGTTTCGGTCGCGATCGCGGAAACGGTCGCGTTGATGCGGTAACGGAAATGATGTGTTAATCGCGGACTGTATCACGGTCATCTCGGTAGAATTTTTGTTTTAGATTTTTTGAAGTATTAATTTTTTTTCTAGTAATAAAATTATTTTTTAGAACAGATTTTTGAATATCCATTAATTTTCTGACTAATACCTAGTAGAAAATAAGAATATAATAATATTTATACAATAATTTAAAATGTAGAAATTGAAAACAAGAATGACCTCAGCTAGGATAAAAAAAGAAGGGAAAAAAAAAGTCACGAGATGGTGGGGTCAACAGTAAAATAAAAAGAAAAAAATTGCTGAGCAGCATTTTATTTCATCAAGAACTGCCAGATTGTTGCTAGCTGTCCCACTATTCCCACCCTTGAGGTCATGACCCACCTTCACTTACCCCTGCCTTTCACCTTTTCCCTCTTTCACTCTATCGAGCAGTCGGCAACAATGGAGTTTGCCATGAAAATCTGATAAACCAACGAATATAAGCTATTTCTCGGGCGATCCGGTGGTTTATCAGCCGAAAATCAGATGTCGCGGTCGAAACTCGGTCTTTTATAAAAGGCCGTTACAAAACGGCAAATCTCGTAACGGTAGCCTGAATTTCCGTTACAAAACGTCCGCATCGCAACGTATCGGCCGCGATTTTATACTATGTTCTATGCTCGTCTTTTGAGACCATTATTGTAGACTTTTTCTCATGGCAATGGGAACACTAATAGTTGTATTATACTCATTATTGTATTATATTACCATAAACCTTGTGAATCTTCTTTGGTTTCTGCTATCGAATGCTGATAAATCTTCCCTGCAATATTTTTGGGCACTCTACGGAGTAGAGGCCTGGAGGGATTGTTTGTCTGATTTCTAGTGTTTATTATATCATTTTAGTTTGGATTTGGTAATTGCTTAATGTTCATTGTCTGGTCTTGGGATTGGGATGCCTTCATTGCTGATTTTGGTAATTAGATGGGAAGACTTTTCGGCATCAATATAAAAAATTCACCACTCACAGTTATATTCATACTGCAGGATATGGGTATTGATGATAAGGAAATCGTCGAGTTGGTCAGCCAAATTGAGGAACTTGAGCAGAAATTGTTTTCGCATCCGATGCACAAGGTTTGCCCCATATTCTAAATTTTCAGCTCATGGTTTCTGGATGCAATACTTTTTAAATATTTCTTGCTAATCTCATTCTCTTCCTCGATCTATCTTCTTAATGCTTCAGTCTCAAGATGATCATCAAGTCAAATGTTTCCAAAGAAAAGCTGAGGTGAATTATGAAATTCAACTGTTGAAGTCGAAGATGCGTGAGTCTCAGGTACCATTTTGTGGTTTTGCTAGTATTGCTCTGTAGATCATCACTTGATTGTTGAATCTTTAACTAGATAATGGAGAACTATTCTAGAATCCCCCATTATTCTAGATGTATCTTTTTTCTTTTTCTTTTCCAGATAATTTCTATTTATTCTTTTTTTATAATGTACTTTTTTAGTGTTAGTATAAGTGTTTTTTATTTTTATTTATTATTGAAATTATTACTACTCCCTCTGTCCTCGATTCAAAGTCCCATTTTACATGTACACACTTTGTTAGGAAAAAAAAATTGGGGTTAAGTTGATTAAAGGTATTTGAAAAAAGTAGTGTTAGAGTCAGGTGGGAGAAGTATCACATGGGAGAGAACGGAAGAATGAACAAATGAAACCAAATTAGTTGATAACAATATTTTACTAATATGAGACTTTCATTTGAGGATTGAGGGATTGTGTTTTAAAATTATGTACATTATTATTATTCCCTAAGTCTCTTTTAACTTGCTCCATGAAACTTTGCACAAGATTTTAGTAGAGTCAAAAGTAGAGAGGAAAAAAATACTCGAGGGAAAAAAAAAAATTACCAAATAGGAAACGGAATCATTAGGGAATTTCCATGAGATTGAGCTCTAAGAGGAACTAATTGTGGCACTCGCCCCATAAATGACCAAATGAGTGCGGACAATGAAAAACTCATCATCCCTCCACAACAAAAGAAACCATAAGAAGCAAAAAAATAAAAAAGAGCAACTTGCCACGTAATGGCAAATAAAAAAAGCTCCCTGCCACACCTCTACCCATACACTTTTACAGCTTCGTGTACTGAATACTGAATAGGTTAATAATTCTGAATTCAACTGTATAAGGGGCTGTCGATGTATTCCTAGTTTCCACATATATATGTATAATTATTGCTTGGTTGCATTAACTTATGCATAGTGCTTGTTTTTCATATTCTTTCAAGGGAATATGTGTGACAAACTTGAGCTGAGTGTATATATTTCCTTTAATTTTTTGCAGCTTCAAAAGTTCCGTGATGAGCTGAAAAATAGGTCACGTGTCTTGAAGAAGTTGGGTCATATTGATGCTGATGGTGTTGTCCAGTTAAAGGGACGGGCTGCTGCATTGATAGACACCGGAGACGAACTTCTTGTTACTGAGCTGATGTTCAATGGTATGTGGCTAAGTTCTGTACATCTTCTTAGGTTGTAGTTGTGGTCAAGTATCGGAGCTATGACTAATTGATGTTAAATTCTGCCCCGCATCAAGTGCAGTTCTTGTGGATTATGTCTCTGATGCTTTGGCCAGTGTCTCTTCATATATACGAATTATGTTACTGCTTTCTTGAACTCTCACTACCTTCATCATATCCTGCACAGCTTTATATTTAGTTTGAACACTTTTAGTGGCTGTTCTCTACAGCTTGTTATGTAGGCATTTTCCTCGTAATGAAATTATTAATGATAAACTTAGATTTTTTTTTTCTTTTCAATGTTGTTTTTGTGGGACGTGTCAGTTGGGGTCTCCTGCTTAGTGCTTACCTATCTGGAAGTTTGTATAGACGTACTTCCTGGAGTACCTCTGTTTACTCTTTAGGATCTGGTGTGAGAAAATCAATGAGAATTATTTTTAAAAGGTCATATATTTCCTTGCTAGATTGTATTACCCTTTTTTAGCTTTGCTTGTCTAGTATCCCTTGAATTTAGTTTCTTGTAATGAGAAATTGCTTCGTATGGTCTAAATTGGATAGAGTTGAGGGACCCATACCCCTGTCCAAATTTAGGACGGTGTCAGGACTTTCTGTATACTAAATTTTCAAAATATTTGTATCGAACACATGGATCTGTACTCAATAGTCAATACCCACACCCGAGTCCTGGCAACATAGATTTAGAACCCTCGGTCTCTGTCCCATGATGGTTTCTGTACACTCTGTAGTTTATAAAGTTATATATTTGTCTTGATAAACTTTTTTTGTGAAGATGAAAAACTAATATGTTCTAGCAACATTTTTTTACTGTTATTTGGACAATTTGGTATAATATTGGGGTGCTTATAGGTTCTATGATGCTGTGTCGTCCTAAAATTGCTATGCGGAAATAGGGGTTTTAACTCTTTCAGTTCAGTGAATCAAAAGATTATTACGTTGAATGGTTTGATCATGGAATGAGGAAGGGTTGAGGTTACATTGGAGGGTATGTTTACCCAAAGTCTATACAAAGATTACCTGAAACTGAAAATAACCTTGCCAACCCTGACCTGATCACCTGAATTGACAGCTCTTTCCGAACCTGATTTGTGGCTGTAGGCTGTAGAAGTCTATTCACGGGATCTATACTATACATAAAAAAATGTTCCTATATATGCATACGCGCCACAAACTCTCCTCTTTGCACAAGATTTGAACCCACAACTTCAAGTTTAAGTACTAAAATGTTAATCGCTATGCTATTGCCATATTATATGTTATAATTCTTTCAAAATTAATTATAATAAGGATTTAATTTGTGACATTAATGCAATGACTCAGGGCATTGCTTGTGTTTAAACACTAGTTAGTAGTTTAATACATAAATGTGGTTCATTGCTGTTTCCACATCTACATGCACACATTGTGTGTCCAATATATGGCTTCTGTAATGCAAAATCGTAGCGTGTCTTGCTGTATCCAGAATATGACACGTCCTATAACAAGCTTAACATATTGTCAGGGGCCGGAAGACTATTCTTACCCTTGACGGAGTCAGATAACTTGCTTTATCATTGCTATGGAATACTTCTTTTTTATTTTTTTTTTCCCTTCTATTATGCTTTTGTGGCCCTTCATACAATGCTACCTAATTACCCAGTTGATCTCAGTCTAACTGGCTTCTGGGATATCTATTTGTCACTGCAGTTTTACCTTATGAATCATGTGTAGTTAGGGTGAGACACTATCTAACTTTGTTTGCTAACATTAATCAGGTACGTTTAATGATCTGGATCATCATCAAGTTGCCGCTCTTGCAAGTTGCTTTGTCCCGTGTGATAAATCAAACGAACAGATTCATTTGCGAGCAGAACTTGCAAAACCCTTACAGCAACTCCAAGACAGTGCTAGAAGAATAGCAGAGGTCACCCCCCCCCCCTCTCTCTCTCTCTCTCTCTCTTCCCTCCCTTTTACTTAAAGTTTAGACCTTTTTTTATCCTTAATTCCTGATGTTTGATTCGACAATTTGTTTATGTTTCAGATACAACATGAATGCAGCCTGGATGTAAACGTGGAAGAATATGTTGAGTCAACTTGCAGACCGTACTTGATGGATGTAATATACTGTTGGTCAAAGGTTAGGTCTATTTTGTGCTGAACAACCTTTCATGATATTATACAATTCCCTTAATTTTGATATTATCACCTGTTTGATCATTGTTGACCTTTTTTGGAGTTAATGCTCTTATTTTCCTTGCCCCCAAAGTAAGGTGAATACCTGCTGCAGCTTCCAAAGGATATTCTGCAATATTCTTTGATCTCTTTATCATGTCGATCTGAATGTTGATATCTAATTTCCTTTTTCTGGTTTCTGATATTGCATTTGATCAGGGATCCAATTTTTTTGAGGTTATACAAATGACTGATATATTTGAGGGAAGTATCATAAGACTGGCGAGAAGACTGGATGAGTTCTTAAATCAGGTGGGTGAAAAATATGAGAGTTCTCTCTTTTTACCCCCATTGTGTGTGTGTGTGTGTGTGTTCGTGATCTTTGTTGAACTGCCGTAAACTTGCATGCTCCATCATCCTTCCTGGAAAATGCTTGCTTTTAATAAAGATGAATTTATTTTTTCAAGATTGTTTTACTCATAAATTTTTAGCCATGGATCGACCAAAATTTATCCTATAGTAGATATCATGTAGGATATGAATTTTGAAATAAATCTTGTAACAGGGTTTACTTCGTAGGTGTGCTTCGTATAATGTAAAATCTGAAGCTCATTTGTGGGCTAGCAATTCCTGAGCAGCCATTAAGAGGATTCATTATAAGAGCTTGAGGAATAGCCCAAATTCCAAATTAAGAGACTAATTGAGTGAAGTTTAGACCTCAGTTTGATAATGAGGATATAGGTTAATTGGAGTTGTGGAGATTGGTAAGACAGACCAAGGCCGTCTTTAAGAGTCTTGACTTAGCAGCAAACTCCTTGTTTCATTGTAGATGGTATATTATCGAGTCTTTTTGTGTAAATCTTAGTAACTGAATACCCAATAGAGCTGAAATGTTACAGTTGTTCAATGTATGCCTTTTTGGGTCAAGCTGGTAACAGCTTCTCATTCATTTACTGTGGTACTATAAAAGTAACCATGTTCTTCTTTCTTACCTTTTCTAGTTGAAAGCTGCTGCTACTGCAGTGGGAGAGACTGACCTGGAAAACAAGTTTGCAGACGCCAGTACCAGCCTCCGTCGAGGTATTATGTTTGCTAACTCTCTTTACTTGTAGCTGCTATGTTTAAATCATCTTACATTTTTTTTTCCCGATCTTCAAATTGTAGTCAGTTGTATAAATGTAAGGTTATTTCTTTTGTTTTTTGCTTTTTGTTTTGTTTTTATATAATTTTAAATTCGGAACTAGTTAAGAGCTCGTCAATGAGAAGATAGATGTATACTGTATACTCCATAATTATCAATTGAAATCCCTCAGTTCATCAGTTTTGGGCTTTTGGCCATGAGTTTTTTGATATTCTTAACTGGTCGGTGGATAGTGATTCTCTACTTTGACCATCTTTTTATACAAGGAAGAATATTTTTTTTCCATGTGGTTTTGTTAGATTCATCTCGATAACTTTCAAATCATCAACTTTCTACAAGTATAATTTTAACAAAATATAATTGAAGATAAAATTTATAAATTGTACATAGGCAAGCTACGTCATTCACATACACCAATGATCTATTTACTTTTGTTTCAAAATCAATAGGAGTTGGGCACACAAGTAGGACACATGGGATTTTAATGGCACTGTGACCATGCGTCTGTGTACTTGTATTTTTGGGAGAGCAATGTTTTTTAAAGGCTTTTCCCGCCCAAGAAATGTTGTGCATTTTGTTCAAAGAGCATGACTGCATGATTATCCGTCTCTGTTTCACTTGTGTTTGCTATATAAGTAAAATATGCTTCATTCGGTCTTGTCTCTTACACCTTTTAGCTATAGTTTTGCATACTAGCAATTCATTTCGCCTGAACTGGTTAATAGTCGTACCTGTCACATTGGTATAAAATTACGCACTACCTCCGTTTCATATTTTTTGCAACTTTGGGGTATTATTTGTGAGATATAATATATTCCAAGGTTGCAAAAAATATGAAATGGATGTAGTAGTATATAAACGTGCCTTATTATGTAGCAAAGATGAAAAGCTATGTTGCCACAATAAAATGATTTTGATCCCTTTAGGGTGAGCTTTATGGTGAGTGGCTTCAAATACTTTCAGCTGTTGATGCCAAATCCGTCAAGTACTTCCCTAACTTCTCTATGCCCATTTCAAGGGTCAGTGTCCTTTACTCGATGCCTCTGAAGAGGTGGGTGTATTAAAGAAAAAAGTAATAAAAAATTTCCATTTTGATTAAGACATCCACAATGAAATATATGAGTATGTTATTGGCTGAATGTCTGATGTTTGCAATTTACTGAGTCAAGTTTAGATCAGTGCATGGTCTGGGTGATGCAACATTGCAATTCCACAGTTGTGTCAGTAGTTGAGTAACTATAGCCCACTACCAGGTATGGGCTCATAGCTGTCCATACCACAATATAAAATTATTATTTTTTTCCTCTTTTTTTCCCTTTTTTTTTTTTCCTTTCCTCTTCATCTTCTTCCTCCCTTAAACCCTTTCCCCACCTCCATGGATAGCTCCCATTGCCGGCCAAAGCCCCGCCCACCACACCTCCACCTCCGACAGCCAGAAACCCACACCACCAGCCACCACCTTGGTCGAAATCCAGAAATGTGCAACCACCTCCGTTAGAAATCACCGGAAACCACCCAAAAAACATAACCCAAAAACAGAAGAGTGAGTATTGCTATGGAGTACTTCCAGCTGATTTTCATGGTCTTCAAACATAGACAAGTTCCTTGTCGACTTATGGCTCTAGCCATTAAAAACGGTGAGTTCCATGTTGGAAATTGTCTGAGTTCGGTTGAAATTGACGACATTAATTGTTTGTCGGTGCTCAGTTATTATTAATTTGTATACTGTTATTATTGGTTTATATACTGTTATTCTTGATTTGTATACTGTTATTATAGGGTTGAATATTGTTATTAAGAGGAGAGAGACTACATTTTCACAGCATGGTAAGTAATACGCGAAATTACATTTTTGCTCCCGGTATGGGCCCAACAAGCCCATACCTGGTAGTGGTCTATCACTACTCGTCAGTAGTTCTCGTGCTCAAGTGGGTTATGACTAAATTGGGTCAAGAAAAAATCATGACATGCCGGTCTCATAATTCATAATCCAATATGTAATGTAATGCACCAGGGTGGTGCATCGACACATCACACGTATGAGCAGTGGCAAAGCCAAAATTTTGTTGAACAGTCTCATGACATTAGCCCATGTAATGCAAAAGATACAACATTTCTCCTCTTATGTGGAACTGTTACAGAGAAAACTAGAAATTTACAAGTTGTCTTGAGAACAAATAAACATTTATCAAATAAAGTAAAGTACGGCTAGCTTGAAATCTTGAATAATCTTAAATTAGAAACAAACTCTAAATAACAATTTAAGTCCTCAAAATGGCAATATGCCAATATTGGCGCATAAATCATCACTATTATATAGGAGAGAAGAGGACAGTTGAATGCTTTTCAATATGCAAACTAAACTGTCCTCCTTTCTCACTCACATCAATCTTTTCTTCCCCTGGTGGAGGTTTCATTTCAAAATTAGTCACCAATTTTGAAATTATAAGCCCTAAAATTGGCATCGCCAATATAATTCCAGGGCAACTCCTCCTCCCTACACCAAATGGCAAGAACCTATAATCCACCTTCCCACCACCCACTGTTGCATCCGTTGATCCTTCTTCCTCAAGGAACCTCTCAGGCCGGAACTCTTCAGGGTTTTTCCACCACTCGGGATTATTAGCCAACCACCATGCGTTTACCACCACCTTTGACTCTCTAGGTATAGTATACCCACCAAGCTTAGCTTCTTCAAGGTTCATATGGGGTACTAACAAAGGTATAGGGGTGTGTAACCTTAGGGTTTCCTTTACTGTTGCTTGTAAGTAGGGTAATTGTTCAAGGTTTGCTTCTGTTACTGGCTTTCCGTTGAGTACAGTGGCGATTTCTTGCCGGATTTTCTGTTGGATTTTTGGATGATTAACTAGCTCAGCTATTGCCCACTCCATGGACCATAAGGTCGTTTCAATGGCTGCTACATTAATGTTCTCAACGATGTAGAGAACATTATCCTTACTGATTTCTCCTTTGCTTTCGGCATCAATAATGTAGTCAATGGCACAACTTATCTTGTGATTTTCTCCATTTTTTGCCATTATTTTCCTGTAAAACATGATTGCATCAGTTGTCTCATATTGACTTTAAGAAGAAATTTATGCTTACTTTTCCAATATGTTTTCGTCAATAATACTAATTTTCATTCTAGCTAAATACCGTTATTTTCTTTGTAGTGAGCTGCATTATACGCTTTTGTACATTAATTCACTTCTTAAAAATCAATTGCGGTTAAAATAATTCTAGTTTAGGTCAGTCCTAATAAACAGGAAATACAAGTAATTCTAAAAGGTATTAAAGAATTTCCCATGGATAATAATCACTAGTTAATAGACTTACTTGGTCCGGATTTCATAGCCAAGTGAATTAGTGATGAGACAACTAAATTTAGATTGATTTTCATTTACATTAAATAATTATTAGATGATGGTATAAGCTATTGTATAGTGTTTATAGCAAAAGTTTGCCATTGTTTTCTTTCAATTTGGAAATTCTAAAGTTCATCTCATTGATAAGTTATTGTAAATTGGTAATATACTTAGAAGTGAAGGAAAAGGTAGCATGTAATATCATACCTTCGTTTCTCAACATAGTAGTTGTTGAAGAAAGCCAGCCTTCTCTGCTGCAAGTCTCTGCACTTGCTCAAATACCTCCTCAAAAATGGTCTAAGCAAAGGTATAAAATCACCATAATTATACTCAAAACTCTGAGCTAATCTACTCCTTTCGGAGTTAAACTTGGTTGCCTCCATAAACTTGGGATCTTCCATAGACTCAAAACCTTCATCAAACATCATCCTATACATAATATTATACAACATAAGTTGCAGCCTCTTCCTAATAACAAACCCTTCGCTTTTCGCTTTGATGCCTATGATGTTATCATTCTGCTTCAAATCTCTAACAGCCTTGTCCATTTCATCCTCCCACATATTGCTATAAGTATTTACCACCTTGTTGGTGAAGAATGGCAACGTCATTATACGCCGCATCTTCCTCCAATGATCGCCATAGACAGTAAAAACCATGTCTTGACCGCCTCCGGTGAAGATATCAAAGACAACATTCCTAGGTCGGGACCCAAACTCCACCCCTTGTGCATGAAGGACCTCACATGCTAGCTGAGGGTTTGAGACCACGACTAGGTTTCGAACACCGAGCTTAAGGAGGAATACGGGGCCATAGGTTTTAGAGAGGGCTGCCGATCGGCGGTGGTTGAGATCATTTCCTACTTGGAGCCAATTGCCAAAGATAGGGAGAGCAAACGGGCCGGGAGGGGTATTTCCGTAATTCTGTGCATGGGAAGAGAATAGGGAATGGACCAAGTAAAATATGATGGGTAGACATATTGCAAGATATAGGGAAAATTTTGGGTTAGTTGATGAATATGTTAGTACAATGATGAATATGGCAAGAAGGATTAGGTTGCTAAGAATAGTTTTGGACATATTTTTTGAGTGTGTTCCCATATTTGCCCTCTTATGGAGGAATGTAATGATCTTTGATTGTATATTACTTAGAATGATTGATATAATTGCAATTATGAGTTTTGTGTGTGTGTATATATATATAGTTTTGTGGGGTTGGTAAGAAGATGTAGAAAATTCTTGAAGCAGTGGTTTTTAGGGTGAATCCAAGGGGCTGTTTACTGATGGTTTTATGATATAAATCTAGGTAGGAAAAAAAACAGAGAGAAAGGATAGATTTGCCTTGTAATAAAATATTATTGGTGAAGTCACTAAGTTGGTAGGTAAGTGCATGTCCAAAAACATAAAAATAAATAAATAAATGAATAAATGAAAAAATTGGTAGGTAACTAGGTAACTGGGATGGCGCGGTTGCTCTCTCAATATGTTTTGATGTCAAAAATAGTCATTATTGTTAGCCAAGTCAAAATTGTGGTCTTGGTAGCTGAATGTCAAGAAAAACGATGTCCAATGACAAGTTTGCACTACAGGGTATTTTAGTCATTTTGCTTGAGAAAATGGTCATTGACATACTTTATACTCCCTTCGTATTTTATTATTTGCTCCACTTTGCTTTTGCGGCCATATTTTATTACTTGCTCTATTTTTTTAGAAACTTTTAACAATATTTTACTATTTTCTACCGCACTAGTGGTTCTTTCATATCATATTATAATATTTTTCATATTCTCTCTCCTTCTGTCCTATACTTACTTTTGCTTTTTTTTTTTTTAAGATTTTTTTTTCTTCAACCAACGCCATTTCTATCATATTTTATTATTTTTACCTATCTCTTCTAAAACCTTGTGCATGAAAAAATGGAAAAAGTAATAAAATACGAAGGGAGTAATGGTATATTAAAGTGTATACTTTCATTGTCTTGTTAGTATTATAGATCTCATAATGGTTTACTGTATGATGTACCATGACTTTTTTTATAAACAAATTAAATCCTAACTTTGATGAAATATTTTCAAAAACAAACCACTCAAATCATTTTCATACTAAACATATATATATATACATATATATATATATATATATATAGGGTCGGGATCCGGTGAGAACCACCTTATATGTGAGACCACATCCCTTATGTGAGAACAAATCTCAGCCATTAAATTATATTAAATCCAACAGCCTAGATTAATTACATAAACCTCCTTAAAACTAACTTCATCAATGGCGTCTAATTTAATGGCTCAACCTTGACAATTTCTCTCTCCTCTTCTTAGCTTGTTCACAAGTACAGAAATTCCGTCAATTATTGAGGTATGTTCATTCCGTCAATTTCTCTCTCCTCTTCTTAGCTTCTTGAATTTTTGTTGAAATTATTGAATTTCATGTTGTGATGATTATTGAATTTACTTTTGATTCAAAATTTTCATTAAAAATATCGAATTACATGTTAATTTTTGAATTGCATTAATCATTGAATTGCATGTTTAATTGCATTAATTATTGATTTGATTGAATTTACTTCTTTAATTTTTTTTTGAATTGAATCAATTATTTAGGTTTGATTAATTTGATAGAGATTTTAATAATTGAATGCAATTTGGTTTATGCTATAGAATTTCTTATTAATTCAGTAAGTTCTTCCCTTGGAACAATGTGATTTTACTGACCTTTTAAAGTTTTAGCATATCAAACAACCATTACTCGTAAACATCAAGTCCTTTGAGAAATTTTCTTATTATCTGATAGATGTAACCAATATTTTGATGATGTCAAATGATAATTATATTTTGATTTGTACTCACTATGGATCATTTTGATTAAAAGTATGTTTCTCATTATTATAGTACTAGGTGTTTCTCTGTTAGATTTTTTGTCTTCTGAGCTTTTTTCCTGCCTTCATCTGATCTTTATACCGGCATTTATTTCTAAGTTTTTCATGTATAATGAATTACTGAAACGACTCTCTTAATTGTTATGTACTATATATTGTTAATGCACAATCTGAGTGAGTGAACATTTGTATGTTGTGTAAACTGTGAAGTGTAATGTTCATACTAAGCTTAGCTAGCTTACTACAACTGTTTTGGCCTTTTGTACTCAAATTACCCCATTTCTAAAAACTCATTTCTATAAACTGGTGGAGCTGGTAATAGCTTGAAAGATGGAATGTAGGAATTTAAATGAAGGGTCAAAATCTGGCCTCAAGAAGGAGATTTCATGTATACACAATATGCACAAGTAATTCACAAGTAATTCAAGAATCTATAAGTACTCAGTATACACAATATCACAACAATGCTTATTTTTCCAAATACAGGAGCAAAAAATAATTATAATGATCCCTCACATTTCATTTTTACCATGCTTAGGTTACTCATATTTTCCACCGTTTGGTTACTAAATTTGTTCTTGTGTTGTGTGCGTATCGTGTAGATGTTGCGGTTATTGGGCTGTTTTGGTATGCCTGTGAGGCTGCAAGAAGTTTTCTCTAATGTGGATGCACTTTGGGCAGCGAGTGCAGATACTATAGGAGGGCCGTAGAGTGTTAAATGAGTGTGTTAAGTGCAAAACAGGTGGCTGGTTGTTGCGCCTGTTTGATGAGTTGCCTAGTTTGTAAAGTTGTATGTTGCATACATAAAACAATTGACATAACAATAAGATATGATTTAGTAATTTATATTAACCAAAAGGAAAAGAACAAGTAAAAAGAAAAGTGAATGAGCTGAAGATTAGAACATAGGAAGAAAGTTTAGAACATGAGAATAAAAAATTAGAACATTGGGTTAAGAGTTTCGTCCAAGATCTTCTGAGAGCTTGTGGTGCCATGAGGTGTTGGGGTGTCGACTTTGGTTTGAATTTCAGGTTTATCGCCTTGCCTCCTAACTTTGGGAAAGCTCAAAGTATAAGAATAAAATTTAGAACATAAAGAAAGCTCACAGTATAAGAATAAAATTTAGAACATAGAAAATGATTTAAAACATATGATAAAACCTATTAGCTCAATTGGTAGAGCACTATAAAAATGCATAGGGGATGTAAGTTCAATTCCTACATAGGTTATCTTTATAAACAAAATTAATTAAAAAAGAAAATCAAATTCGTACTAATTATATGTGCAAAAAAATGGTTTGAAATGATTTATAACTATATAAACTTTGTTACAATTAAACTATCATACAAACTTATGTCTCCACATACATAAATGAATGTATGTGGGATTCGAACCCACATTTTTTGTGCATTTGCACAATGCTCTACCCCTGAGCTAGTAGGTTAACGTATTTAAAACATTCAAACACACTCACAAATAAGCATTAATTTGACAAAATGAGCAAGAATCATTTGCTTATTTGACAAAGGAACATTAAATAGTTTGCTCATTTGACAAAGGATCATTGAATTTTTTTGCTCATTTTACAAATGAGCAAAAAATAATTGCTCATTTGAGAAATGAGCAAAAAATTAATTGCTCTTTTGAGAAATGAGCAAAGAAATTAATTGCTCATTTGTCAAATGAGCAAATAATTAGTTGCTCATTTGTCAAATGAGCAAATAATTAGTTGCTAATTTAAAAAATGAGCAAACTATTTAAAAGGTATGACTTAGCGCACATTGATGAGCAAAACGTAATATTAATTAACATGTGATAGCATGTTTAAGGCCTTGTTCAAGTCAATTGTAAATTTTTTAGTTATCAAATAAAAATTAATTTTAATCGGTTGGCTGGCTACATATGTATGACAAGTAAATTAGTAAATCGATCAAAAATTAGTCTTGATTAACAACTAAACTAGCTTAAACCGGTTTAAATCATTAATATTTCAGTTTAGCAAAAAAAAAACGGTTGATATGAGAGTACGAGGCCTAAAACTTAGATCAATCTACGTATCATAGAGAATCTTCAGGTTAGGCTTTTCGGAATCAGGAGTTAAAACATGTCATTATTAATTAGCACATAGAAATATGTATAAAGGAGCCTTGATACTTACTTGGATTTTGGTTAGAGATAACAGCAGTCTGGGAGAAGTCGCACTGGTAGGGATGGCGACCCTTGGTATGGTAAAATGTGTTCATGGCATAGGTCGCGTGAGCCCTAGCATTGTTTGGGTTGTAACAAGCACCGCCTGGTTGAATGGGCTTGCAATCAACTCCTTGGTTGCAGACGTAATTGATGTTGGAATGCAGTTGTGCATCAGTGGCCTGTTGTTTAGGCACACACCATCCTTTAGCAGGGCTAGGTCCAGCAGGCCAAGCAGTCGATTTTGGTGGCCCTACAGGACTAGGACGCGTCTGAAATTGCAAGCCAAGGAAACACCAAATATTTAGATCATCATGATATATTGCGATTCAAAACTATAAATAACTTCAGACATGAGACATGATAAGAGGTTGAGAGGGATAGTCGAAGTACATTAGTACAATATCATTCACACACATTTATCTCATTCACATATGGCTCTTCGTTTCACTCCAAGAATCCATAATGCACGAATAATGAATGTAATGGGCAATTCTGACTCAAGGTGTATCTCTATCAAACATTTCTAGCTGGCTTAGTACTATTATTTCTTAAATTTCAGTGACAGTTTATCATGATTCTTCTTTAAGACTTATTGATCAAGTAATGAAATGTAATAAATCCAAAGATAAAACTAAGCAAGCATGAACAAAATCCTGCTACTCCTGGCTCTTAATAACTGAGATTTAAGCTATGAATCACACTAACAAAGTTTGACAGTCCACTACATGGAAAGGAAGGACTAAATTTCTTCTTAGAGTCGGCACTGTAAACTAATTTAATCTGCATATCATGAATCTTAAACTGCAAAAGCGATAGAAACAGCTAGGAAGAAAACATTACTGATGAAGGTTACTTACCTTTTGTCCATTCTTTAGAACACCAATATTGTAGACAGGGGTGAAGTCGGGCCTAAACAACCCAAAGTTCCTCTCAGCAACAGGTCCAGGCTTCTGGTTTTCAGTAAACAGCCTAAAAATCAAACTAAACAATTAGCTACGCTAATCAAGAAACTAGCACAAGAAATCAAACTAAACAAATGAGCAAACATTACTTTAATCATTCATTAAATCAACAAGCATTTCTTTGCTCATTTGTGAAATGAGCA